TTTTTTATTGCTGCTGTAACATACCATGAGTATGGCTACTCATAAAAGGGCAAGTTTATTTAGAATATATGGTTCAAGAGGTGTAAGAGTTCATCGTGGTGAGGAGGCATGGCTGCAAAGGAGGGCACAGTGGCAGGAACAGGAAGCTGAGTGATCCCATCTTGCCATACGCACAAAGCAGGAGATCAAACCTGAAGTAGGACAAGGTTGTATAAATCCCAGAGTCTACTGCCTAGTGACATACTCCCTCCAGCAAGGCTGTGCCTCCTAAACTTCCCCAAACAATACCAACAACTCAATGAAGTATTCAACTATCCAACCTTATAGAGGTCATTTCTCATTCTAAATTCCATTTGGCTTACTCAGAAGTCGGTAAGCCAAGGAATCTTGATGATTTAGTTTCGGGAATCAGCTCCTAAGCAAAAAGAAAGAGAAGGGAATAGAACTCAGAGCAGATAGGCAAATCATCTACACTCAATTTGTGGTCTACTTTTCTAACTTTGTCTTCCAGTCTTCAACACACTAGACTCTTTCAAAAACATTTTTGAGATAAGATTTTACTGTATAACGTTGGCTGTCCTGGAATTGACTATGTAGACCAGACTGGCCTCAAACATACTGAAATCTTCCTTCTTCTGCCTCCCAAGTGCTGGAATTAAAGGCTTGTGCCACCACCACCTGGCTAAATTATGGAAAATTTAAGTCTTCGAAGGATTTCTTTTTTGGGGGGTGGACGTGGGAGTCTGAGACAGGGTCACTATGTAGAAATAGTTGTCCTGGAACTCATTATGTAGACCAGGTTGGCCTTGAACTCAAAGATACTCCTACCTCTTCCTCCTGAGTGCTGGGACTAAAGTCATGTGCAACCAGCATCCAGCTTTAAATCCTATAATTTCTAAGCAGCTTTTTTTTTTTTAATTTGAAGATGTGTGTGAATGTATTTGTGTGAAGATATGTGCACATGTGTGAGCATCTCCCCTTGGAGGTTAGAAGAGGTGTTTGATCTTTTGGAGCCGTAGCTTCAGGAGTTTGTGAGACACCTGACATGGATGCAAATAGCAAACTCTGGTCTTCTTGAGTGAGCGGCAATGGTCTGGGTAGATATTTCCAGGCCAACCATTGGATATTTTCATTATTTCTCTGCTAGAGTTATGCTTAAAAAAATGATCATAAGGTTTAATTTTAGAAGAATTCCGTATTTCTGAGCTATGGCAACCCCTTTGTGTCCTCACTGGTAAAACATGAACTCTCTTTGGACTTTTCTTAAGTAGTTCTAATAATCTGTTTAAGCCAGGTCATTGGCTTTATCTGTAATCACAGCACTGGAGAGGCAGTGGCAGGTTCAAGCAGCCAGGGCAGTGTGTTGAGACTATCTCAATTAAAATACCCAAACTAATGCCCTCTCCTGGGGTCTTGCTTTGTTTTTGTCAGTTCTATAATTTAAAGGAAAGACAGATTCCATGAAGGACCATAATATGCAGTGAGGATCCATCACTTTTTCAGATGGAGTTGATCTGTCTACTGGATTTCTGTGTTGTTTCCCCTCCTTTCTGGGTTCCTTACCTTGTTATCCCTGTATATTAGAATACATTCTTGCTTGTTGGGCTTTTGGTAACTGGAGCCCTTGGATGTGGTGGTGATGATGATGATGATGATGCTACAGCTCTACATAGTTCTCAGGCTCTCATTCTAGCGATATAGTAGGACTCTATTTCCAACACTTCTGATGTTAGATTTGGCCATGTGACTTCACTGGCCAATGAAATGTGAATGCACATTACTTCTGGTAGAAAATAGTTTTTAATTTTTTTTTTTTTAAACAGCCAGAGCAAGACATTGAACATCCAGCAATTAAATTTTATGATTCTTACTCTGGCAATCTTGAAAGCCTATGTCTTAGTGAATCATCCACTAATCCAGGGACCTCAGTGACTGCAATGAGTAGAGAGTCCCTGAAAAGTATGCTGAGTTCCATAGGTCTACATGACACCTTCTTTCTCTAAGCCTTGGTATCTGACAGTTCTTGTGTCCTTGAGGGTTCTTGACTAAGATTACCATCTATGCATCCTTGCAGTCTCTATAAAACAACTGGTTGATAGAGACCTGGTATCCTGCCACATGTTAGGACAACACTGAAAAGCCACTCCAATTCCAGAGCACCTGCAGATGGGCTGAAGCTTCATTTGCAACTATGTTACAATTTCAGTCTACTGCATATTCTGTAGTCCTGTCTTCCTTGGTTCCACAGAGATGTTCTTAAATTGCATATAAAAGCAACTCATGATAGGTTCACTAATGCTTCTACCAAACACAAAACAGGGTTAAGTACATTTTGTCTCAATAAGCTAACAAGCTCTGTGGGATGTTATTATAACCCAGCCCATCCTGATCACTAGATACCAGACCTTACTGCCCTATTGGTTCTGTTTTTTATCAGTTAGACTTGTGTTGTCTGTCTTTTGTAGTAGATTAAGTCATTGCTAAATTTTAACTCTTCTGATGTTCCTTCTCGCTGTGAATAGTTACATTTTGACTCAGACAGTGACTGCAAGTGCAATAGAAAAGGAACAAGGGCTGCATACCGAGGTCTACTGATTATTCCTGCTAAGTTAGTGGCATGAACTTTTTCCACATGAATTTCATAAGACATCTTTCCTACATAATTTATTACACATTTATAACATGCACAAGGGCACTTAATTCTTCTTAGGAAAATTTTATGCAAATAATAATTGAATAATAAAGTACTTGACCTCAATTCTAGGAAGAAAAAAATTGTATTTCAGCAGCTAATAAACTTCCTGCACCTTCAACATCTGTCATTTCTCTGAGAACTAGATTTCATGTTTTGAAAGCTAAATGTTAAAAAAATGCCAGTTCCTTATTTTAGGCCTTTTAGGCAAAAGAAAATATGGTAGTAAAGCTAAAGAGTCAATGAATATGCTCCTTATTTTTCAAAAGGGATTTTATTACATAGAAAAAAAATTCTCTGTGCCTGAAGCATAAACAATATAAAAATATTTCATCTAAAAAAAGAGCCCTGGGCAGGTATTACCACAACTCTTAATTATAGCAGATATTTACTATGATAACAGAAACCAGTTTAAGGAATGTGATTTATTAACATCACGTTCAGATAAAAAGATAAAAGACTTGAACAAGCAAGCGAACAGTAATGCTTGAGGAGTGTATTTATGAATGTATTCTGGAACAGCCTGTAGCCACAATGAAAGACCGGCAAAACCAGCCTTCAGAACAGCCTTTCTGCCTACCGAGAGAAGGGAGGGCTAGACTCCATCTCTTAAGATCGCCCTCCCACGCAATTTTTCCACCTCGCAGTTAAAGAATTAAACCCAGACTTCCGATCATGGCGCCAAGCACGTCACCTTCTCCCCTCTCCCCTAGCAAAATCCCACCCAAGTCGGCTGACCCCCGCAGGGGATATTCATGTCCCCCACCCCCATCCTGGTTGCCTGAGTCCAACCAAACTAAGATTAAAAAAAAAAAAAAAAAAGGTTAAAAGCGGTCGTAGGAAACTGCGGTGCGGGAGAGACCTTCTCGGTTGGACGGGGAGACAGGATTCCCCCTCCGTACCTGGAGGCCACAACCCTGCGCCCGCCGCAGTTTCCCTTACACAGGCCCCGCAAAGCCCCTCCAGCCTTTGTGAATGCAGCCCTCCCCGGGAGAGGTGCGGGCTCACGCTCGCACAGCAGGCCGGCGAGTGCGATTTTTAAGTTTCCTCGCCGGCTTTCCATCCTCGCCATCGCTCAGCAGCCTTGTCACCTAAGAAGGCCGCGGGGCCGGCTGCTCGAGCAAAGGCCGTCCCCGACTAGCGCGCACACCTCAGGTTCGCGGTCTTCACGACTGAGGCTTTTGTTTGCGCCGCGAGGGAGGGGAAACCGACCGGGCCCCGGGTCTCGGTTCCCGGGAAAAGGCGGCTCGGGCCCGGGATTCCCGGGGAAACCGAGGAGGAAGCGCCCGCCGCTACCAACAGCAGCGGCAGTTTGTCCTCCAGGCTTTCCACCCAGATCCCAGGGCAGCATTGGCCTACGTTAAACAAAAGATGTGGCCGCCCGCTCTAACATGCTCACACAGCTCGCCACACCATCCACGTGCGGAAGGGACGCGTGTGTAAGCAGAGGGACCCAGGCTGCCCGCCCCACGCGGGCCCCACCCTGCCCCGGGCCGCACCGGGGAGAGACGCCTCGCCAGGGCCTCGCTCTACAGCAGCTAGCTGGGGGCGAGGGGCGGGGCCGGGCGGGGCCGCGGGCGCGCAGGCGCAGTGCGGCTCAGTGGCGCCGCCGCCGCCCGCGCTGCACCACAGGCCCGAGACAGACAGGGGTCGGGTAGAGAGCCGGAGACTGAGAGGAGGCGGCGGCGGAGGCGGGGCGACTCCGGTGACCGGGAGCGCCTCAGACTGGCAGCTGCGGCGACTCCCCCCTTTGTGTCTGGTCTGCTCGGAGCCGCTGGAGGTGCTTCCCGGAGGGGCGCGGGGTGTTTCGCAAGCTCTGCTGCCCACCCCTTCCTCGGCCACCTACGTCCGTCTTCCCGCCGCCCCCCGCCCTCGGCCCGCGACGCCCGAGCTCCGCCCGGAGCCCAGAGCTGCGGAGAACGAGGCGGCGGTGGCGGCGGCGGCGACAGCTTCCTCGGGGGGTGCCGTGATTCGCTCACGCGAGCCATCGACGGCAGAAGACCGGGCTTCCAGGGTGGAATTTACTTGAGGCGAGAGCGAGGCCGCGGGCCGAGCGCCCTCGGAGGGCCAGCCGGGGCAGCCCCGCACGTCCCCGCGTGTCGCGCTCCGGGGCTAGCCGGGCCGCCGCGACCCTCCCCTCCCCCGCGCCCCGAGGCCCGGCCTGCGCGACCCTCGCGCGATTGTTCCGTGCAGGCTGTGGGCTCGCCCATGGAGGCAGGCACCTTTTTCGACCCAGTCGGCGGAGAGGGTTTGTTGATGTCGAAATCCGAGTGAAGGGAGCGACGAAGCGAAACTTTAAAAGGAAGCCTGCTGTCCTCCGGTTCGGGAGCGATGCGACCCGGGCGGCCGGGTGCCGCTGCCTGCCCCGCTTCGCCCTCCCCGGCGGTCGGGAACTTGTTCTGATCCTCAGTGCCCCCGTCGAGTCACCGCCCTCTATTCCCACCCCACCCCCGGCGCTCTGGATATGTTTTCTCCCAGATCTGGGTATTTTTTTGATATCGTGAAACTACGAGGGAAATAATTGCAGGGATTTCTTCTGGGCTCCCTGCTTCCCCACGGACATGCCTTCAGTCTGGGGAGCCAAGGCACCCCGTCCTAGGCGAATGAAGCCCCCCAGCCACGAGGGAGCGAAATGAAGGGAAATTCTGCAGTGGAATGAGAGCTCTACAGCTAGGTCCTCGCATCTGCCATTTGTCCTTTCAAACTGCATTGTAATCCGGGCAGGATAAATCAGACGAAGAGACGAGCAGCCTCCTGGCCGGATTTCTCCGCCCGCATTTACTTTCCAGATTTCTTTTCTTTGCTCTCCTGCTTCTTGGCTGGCCCAGGGATGACTTCCTCTCTGCAGCAACCCTGTCGGGTGCCCTGGCTACTATGGGCCGTCCTGCTGGTCAGCACTACGGCTGGTGAGTAGCCCTGGGTGGCGCGTCTGGGCTCCTATCCCAGCGGGTGGCGAGGGAGGGAGCCTGCAATGGCCCAGGCCTGTGCTCGCCCTTCGCAACGTGTGCGCTCGGTTCCTGGTGGAGGAACCTGCCAGGGAAATCACCTTCAGTCCTGTTTTCCTGTAGTTTCCCGTCCCCACTTCGGTATTCCCTGACCCCTCCCCCACGGAGGGGGGGGGAAAGACATATTGGGTGTGGTATCTTGACATTTTTAGCTGTGAGGTAATGCAAGGATTAAAAATAATATTTTAATCACTAGTGAACTGTCTCTATTAGAAGATTTTGGAGCCAGAGGTGGTAGTTTTGCTTTGTTTATGTAAAGAAGCAGGTTTGGTTTACAGTTAAAAGAACTAAACACACACTTGATTGAACCTTATTTATACATTTAGATCACTCCTTTGGGAATCCATGTTACTTTTCGTTATTTAAAAATGTTACCTGATGAATAGAATAAATGTTGAGGAAGCTGGAGTGTGAGATGTTGATACGTTGTATAATACTGTTTCTTGCTATCATCATTAATGTTGTTTTGCTCCCAAGAATCTTAACTATTCTCTGTCTTTTCATCTGGACATTTGTACTTTGTATGCTTTTGTAATTACTGCTGGGCACACAAGTGTTTTGATAACTTTACTATTAGTCATCTGGCGTCTGTTGGCTTTCCTGTCATTGAGACAACTTTGACCTCGAATCAGACTTCTAGGAGATTTGACTCCTGAAAGTTCTTTGACATTTACTAACGTGTGAAAGGAAATGGGTACTCCCCTTTCCTTTGGCCATTTCCTTTTCAGTCGCCTTGAGAGAAAAAAAACAACTAATTTTCTCACTACAGTTATTTTCAAGCAACAATTTTCGTGATTTGCTTTTAGAAAATTTCAGGAATGAATTCTTAAATTAATCACATGAAATATGCATTTAAAATGAGTAGACAAAGTAATGTTTTAAAAGTAATTTTCATATTCAATAAAATTTTCATTGCTGTATTAGACACACAATTACTTGTTTAACTTACATTTTAAAGGTCTGTACTGGGAAAATACTGAAAGCAAATTTGAAGTTTCCTTTGTGAATTTGATATTATTGTCTATTGTTGGTTAATATTTAGTATCTTATATGTTTGGTTGTGAGCCTAGCCTTTAAAGACTGAGCCATCTCTGCAGTCCATTTTATTTAGTATTTTAGTAATCTATGTAGTGTTAAAAATCATTGGAAGATCTAATTAGATTACATCTTAAAACTTGATGTTTTAGTATTTGGTATTATTTCAATTATTTTTGAAGCAAAACTGAACAGTTTTTCTCAAAATTTCTTTGTTAGTTGTTTAATTTCTCTAGCCACAAGTCATGTGGTTCCTGTAAAATATGAAAAGAGTAAAAATGGCCTTGACACGTAAGCAGTATTCTGCAAGCAGAAATACAAGAACATTTTGTTTTTTAAATTTTTTTTACCTTTTTAGATTGCAGGTTCTCATTTGTAGTATTGTGCTCATCATTTTGTGACCAGAACTGATTTTAAAAAATCAGAGAAAAAGTAACATTGATTTCAAAATAATTTCTATTTGGTAAATGAATTTTGTTCTCTTTTTAAAATGGTTATATTTAAAGAATCCTTGTATAAAAGTGATTTTAGTCTTTGTGTGTGTGTGTATGTGTATTATAGTACTAGATGATGGCATTTTTGATGCTGGATTTCAGAGGCGTAATAGCTGGTGGTTTACTGAATTCTTGCTATGTAGCAGCAAATATTAAAAGAGCTTTACATTTATTTTTTCCTTTGACCCTCCTTACAGTTCTGTATCCTAGGTTTTTTATTATTGTTCCCCCTTTTTACAGAGAGAGGAAGAGAGAGAGAGAGAGAATTTTAAGTAACTCATCACACAGTAAATTGAGGAGCCAGGATTATAACCTGTATCCTTCCCTACCTCCTCAGTGCTAATAGCTGCAGCAGCAGCAGCAGAGCCAGCAACAATTTTCTCTCTCTGGAACTGGAGCATGAGATTTGAAAGGAAGCTTGGATGTTTATAAAATAATGGTCCAGGTACTGATCATGCACTGCTGTGGCTCAGAACATGTCAAAACTTTGTTTAACAGGTAGATATCTGTGAGTTGGAGGTCAGCCTGGTCTACCTAGTGAGCTCTAGCCAGGGCTACATAGAGAACCCTATCATAGAAAAAAAACAAAAGCCAACCTTTGCCTGATAGTAGATTGGGTAGTGGTTCAGCTTCATTAAGTACTAAGTGACTAGGGAGTCTGTGTATATTTGGTATATATTGATGAAGCTGTGTAGCTGCTAGGTGCAATTAATGTAGTCCAATAGGAAATAATATTGCAAGACTAATAGATATTATGTCATTCTTTGGGATTGTTTAGGTGTTGTTTTGAGGCAGTGTGTCCTGCCACTATGTGTAGTCTAGGTTGGATGCAAGTTCTTGGCCTAAGCTTCCTAATTGTTGGGATATAGGTTCGAGCCACCAGGTCTGGTTTATTAGATAAATAATTTCTTTTGAATCCCTTTTTTACTCTAATTAATTCTTGGACTCCTTAATTCTAAGAATAGTTGGTATGCAAAAAAATTGGAATTTTTTAGAAAATAAAGTTGCTTAAAATAAATTATTTTAATAAAAAATTATTAAATGCACTGCTAGCTTTAATTAGGTAATTTAGGCTTGCTTAAGAGTCAGCTTTGTAATACATTTGAAATAATCCTGTTGTTTATATTTTGGCTTTACATTTCTTTAGGACTATAATTGTCTAGAATGAGAGAGTCATCTTTAGCATTATTGAGTGGTTAGTGAATTTTGTCAATTACTGCAATTTTAGTAATCTTCATTGTGTTTCCCAGTTTGGATTTTTCTTTGTAGTCTAATTATATTGAATTGACATACCTTTTTTGGGGGGTGCATTTTTAACCCTAAAAAGTTTTAAAGGATGCATCTGAGAACAAGTGCTTTGTATCATCAGTGCTAATTGATTCTTAGAGTAGTGATTTTCTGTTACAAGATAATTTGCAGCCACAAAATCTTCATATCATGCAACAATAATTTATTTCATTTTATCTGTGTCTTTGTGAGCCCAAACCTGAAGGGAAAGTAATACTTACCTAGAAGGAGCATTTGTCAAGGCAATAACACAACAGAAGGGTAAGAAGGCACCCTCAATCCCACTGGCATATTTCCAGACTCTGTTCCTATAATGTCCCATTGGCCTACCGAATCATGCCTCTAGGTGAAAAGACAAGGTATATAAAACAGTACATTGTGCATATAATGAGGCTTCATATAACATAAGGATGCATAGTATACCACAGAGGAAGGAAGAATTCAAATTCCCAGTCTACCTCAGAGAACTTGGAAAAGCACAAGGAGGGTTTCTCTTACCGTTTGAATGGGCTTTTGCATGAAAATCATACAAGCTTTGGTTTCTACATCCTGGAGTATCTCCTGTGATGTTTGTGATGGTGTTGTATGTGCAATGTAATAGGGCTAACCCTTTCCTGCTTAAAAGGCTGGTATTTTTCTTTTCCTTTCATTTGGTTCTGGAGATCCAAGAGCCCTCTCCCACTGAGATGCAGCCTTAGCTGAAGTCCAACTTAAAAAAAAAAAAAAAAAAACATTTAAGAGAAGAATTTGAATATTGGTTTCTGATGGGTAAGTTCTAGGTACTAAATGAAGTTGGATCAAATGAGTTAATTTTATTACTGGCCACACCACTTATTTGGGCTCCTACTCATGCAACTTTGCTGGTGAATATCAATTCTATGTATTGTCTTCTCCCAACTGATAATTGTATACACAGTACAAAATTCAGTCAAGCAGTTGGGGTGGGGTGCATGCCTTTAATCCTTGTACTCGGGAGGCATCAAGGCAGGCAGATCTCTTGAGTTCCAGGACAGCCAGGGCTTCACAGAAAAATCATATCTTGAAAACCAAAACCAAAAAAAAAAAAAAAAAAACAAAAAACCCAAATCATTTTATAATGTTAAGGTTTAGACTCAGGGCTTCCTGTGTACCAGGCAGACATGCTTATCACTGAGCTATATTCCCAAGCCTCTTATTTGAGATTGCTTTGTAATTTGCCATATTGCTGTGCATATAGAGGATGTTTAAGAAATACTTAATGAATGAAGTATAAAAAGGAATTGGAGGGCTGGAGAGATGGCTTAGAGGCTGTGGCATTTGCTGCTCTTGCTGAGAACTTGGTTTTGTTTTCAGCACCCACCCAAATGGCAGCTCAAAACCATCTATCACTCCAGTTCCAGGAGATCTGACCTCATTATGGCCTTTGCAGATACCAGGCCTACTTCATGTACATACAAGCAAAATGTTTGTACACATAAAATAAATATTTAAAACAAATGGAAAGGAATTGGAACTTTATTTTAACATGCACATGGAGGTTCAGAGACAACTTTGTGGAATCATTTTTCTCTTTCTAACTTTATGTGGGTTTTGGGGACTGAGTTCAAGTTGTCAGGCTCATTGGCAAGCACCTTTCCCCCACTAAGCCTTCTTTCTTATCTCTCCTCCTCCTCCCCCCCTAGACATGGTTTCTCTGTGAAACAGTCCTGGCTGTTCTGGAACTCACTCTGTGGACCAGGCTTGCCTCTAAATCATAGAGATTCTCCTGCCTCTGCCTCCCCAGTGCTAGAACTAAAGGTGTGAACCACCACTGCCCAGCACCACTAAGCCTTCTTAATAGCCAACTTTATCTCTGTCTTAAGAATGGTACATTATTTAGTGACAAAGGCTTTACTTGCTCAGTCTTATATGTTAGTTTAATTGGTATTATTTATTTATTTATTTATTTATTTATCTATTTATTTATTTGTGGTTCTGGGAATCAGAACAGGCTCTTAAATGTGACAGGGAAGCACTCTTGGGCTGCATCATCAGCCTTGTGTATTCTTATTTTTGGCATTTTATTTTCTTCCTATTTCTCCCCAGACCAAAAGTTGTTAGTAGAAA